GACAGTTTTCTCGAGGGATTAAAGTCCAAACAAAAAATAAATAAATAAAATTAGAAAATAGAAAAATACCAAAACATGTCATTTTTTATTTTCCTTAGGTAATAATAATCCCTCGTGGTTTTTCTTTGTGCCTCAGTTCTTTTTCATGGGATGTAACTTGAACCAGGTAGTAGTTTGTTTTAGAGTAGTATGTAGGAAATAAAGGACAAGAAATGATGTGATTCGCACCTTTTGACTTGTTTGATGGTTGCTTACTTAGGTTCTGGCATGTGTTTTACCTTCCCTTGATTTTAAATATATGATGATGCCTTGGTAAAAATGAATAGCATGTGTTATAACTCTTATGTCTCGTTTACTTGACTTATGTTCACTTTGTGCTTTATGCTTAATATATCTCTTGGCTTTGTGAATACTTGTTTGATTGAGAGTCCGAATGGAACCATTCTTAGTAAGTCATGTGTCATGTGTGAAGTGAGTTCTTTACATAGTCCATGTTATTGCATTTGAGTCTAGAACTTGCCCGGAATGTGAATTGAATCGAAATCCTAGGTGTTGCTGGATTTGAAAAGTGATCTTAGGCTTTCTGATCTTTTTGAGCTTTGTTGCCTATCACAAATAAAATCATCCCTAGTTACCCTTTCGAGCTTATAAGCCTTTTTTTTGGTACCCGCATTACAAGCCTAGCCCCATTTATTCTTAATTTAATCACTTTGATCCTTAGACCTCTTAAAGCACTTGAATTATAAAGAGAGCGTTAGAAAGAAGTAATAAGGAAACTTGGAGTAGTTTTTGAGTGGAACCACTAGAAGGAAGAAATGTGTACTTGTGCTGTAAATAAAAATCCATTACCGACAAGGCAAAAATACAAAAGCAAAAAAAGAAAAATAAATAAATAAAAGTTTCTTATTTTGCTAGTAGATGTGATCTCAAGCAGTGCGTTAAAAAGAAGGAAAAATCTGCTGGGGTGAGCTATCTTGTGATGATTGAAGTGGATTGAAGGAATGTTGTGCTTAAAGTTGAATACATGATGTGTTAAAGTGCTTAGGAGTGTTAGCCACTGTATCCTAAATATATCCTACTCGTCCCTTAGCCCACATTACAATCATAATAAAGTCCTAGTTGATTTTAGACCGAGCAGGCCTACATTAGTAGAGGTTTACATAATGGGCAAGCCTATGGTACCTTTTGAGTGCATGTGACTTCTTTGAGAGAGTGAGTGATTTTCTTCATATGTGTGAGTCCTTAAAGTATATTCGATCATGCAATTTTGATGTGTGGACTGCTTACTCTTTTGATTTATTGTGAGGCCACATGTTTTCACAAAGGATATGTAACATTATTAGATTGCCCTGTTAGATTACATTGAGTTAGTTTTCGAGGCTAGGATTGTTATAATCATGTTGTTCCTGTGTTGGATATTTTGAACTTGGGCATAAGTACGGAAAGTATATTTTGACCGCATATACTAGAGCTTAATTGTTACTATCAATCATGGTCATAGGTGTAGTGTGCTGTGAATGCGTGGCTTGTCCTTGAAGAGGAAGTGTTTAGTTGGTTGACTCGAGGGCAAGCAACCTTTAAGTGTGGGGTGTTGATGTCGTGCTATAATTCTATATATTTTGATGTTATTTACCCTACTTGCTTGTTATTTGGATGCTAATTTGTGCGACAATTGAGCTTAATAGAGCTTATTTCACATGTAGGAATGCTTGGACATGAATTGGAGAAAAGTTGCACGAAATGGTACCTCAAAGCTACAAAATGGAGCAATAAAAGAAGACGTGCAAGGCAATGTAAGGTCTCGGCCGTAGACAATGCAAGGCTTTGTCCAGGGTATTGTCATTGGCGCCTCTGACAGTGCCTCGCGGGGAAATGTTGGCGCCTCTGACAGTGTCTCGCGGAGTAATGTTGGTGCCTCTGACAATGCCCCGCACCGACGATGCTTATCCGATCCACTTTTATTTCCTCATTATGTGTGGACGTGTAGACCACAACCCTACCTTATAAATACCTCCTAAACTTAGTTTTTAGAGGGAGAGACATTATTAGAGAGGAAAAGGCTACGGAAACACTTGGAAGTAACGAATCACAAGAGTTTTCTCTTTCGTTCTTCTTTAATATGTATTTTAATTCTTTCAATTGTTATCATGATTGTTAGTATGATTATGAGTATCTAAACATTCTCATCTATGGTTTGATGGAACCTATTGGACGATGAATTCTTGTTACATTATAATAGAATTTTGCCTTTGAATATCTCTACTTGTTCAACACGTGTTTATTGTTGTTGATTGAATGTCCATCAATTGACTGTGCCTATTTATTATGTATTTCTTGAGAAAGAGTGCATATTTAGGTTGTTGTCGAGCAACGCCACTACCAAGGTATATGAGAGATCAATACGACTGATCTAAAAGCGAGATTAGAGATAACGAAGCTTTGACGTGATCATAGTGAGTGGTGAAAAGTGCGAGCTAGCGTTATTCGAGAGAATATGACTAGTATATTATAGTAGTTACCCGAGAAAGAATTACGATAAATCGAGTGCTCGTGATCAGTAGAGAATACTTAAGCATAGTTGTAGGAGATGTAGCGGGAAGGATTCCGACAATTGGGGAAATCATAACTCTAGACTTTTCCAATCTTGTCTCCAATCCTTAGTATCCCTAGCTGTGAATTTACTACTTTAATTGTTAGTTAATTAGTTAGACATAAGAATCTTAATATTTATAACTTAGGAATTGTTCGAGCTTGTCTTCTTAGTGATATTGAACAGTTTAGGACTAGAGTTGGGCGTGATCAATATTCTCGGAGTCAAGTTAGTACAATTCGAAATTCTATGAGATAAATCTTCACGCTACGTGTGTATGTACTTCAAGTCTCGTCTTTAAAGCTCAAAAGTTTATATCTCAACAAGTCTTGAAGTAATGGACATTTGTAAGCATTTAAATTTTATTGAATTTAAATCCAGTAAAATAATTTGGACTATATGTTAAATATATTAGTTCAAATAAATAGTATGAGCTTATATATAACTAGATTAATGATATGAGTCCAGTATATATGAATACGTCCAAATCCATTGGGCTAGCCCGTTCGATTGAGCTATAAATAACATGCCCACTTTTTAAGCCCAAGATGTCATCTTTCTAGAGGTCCACTTTAGTGTCACGTGTAGGCCACATCACTTGACACGTGACACTAAACTGTGTCTGTTGGAAAATGACATCTTGAACTTAAACGCGGGCTCATCATTTATAGCCTAATTTTATATTAGACAAAATTGTCATTTTAAGTTTTCTCCCTAATATTTAGGAGCTCTAAATAAACTAAATTAATACATTAAATTCTTCCTTATTTGAAGTATGTACACATATTGCTAATATTAAATATCTTGCTTAAAATCTTTCCTTAATTAATGACGTAACATAACAAATCTATTACTAACAAAAAAGCAACATTGGAAAAGTTTAAGCGATTAGTCTTTGACACTTGAGACTCCTTTTTTTAACCACGGAGTCTTTTTAGGAATAGGAGTCTTTGGTCTTCGTTAAAGAAATATAACGATTAATTTTAGCAACATAACTAACTCAAATGCAAGAAACTAATATTGCAAAGAATGCAATCTCAACTATTTGAGGTACATATCAATCATGTAGGTTTATTTTTTAATAATTAAAAAAGACTATTATTTCAATCATCTTATCCATGAAATAATATGAATAGATAAAAATGAGAATGAAGCTAGGCAGAAAAACTTTAGAGCAAATAGAGTTGCAAATGGATACTCCAAAATAAAAGGTAAACGAAAAAAATAATCACTAAATTAAAAATAATCAAGGAAGTTTTTTTTTCCCATAAAAACTCTTAGATTTTTAAAGGCTATGTATTTTTGTTGAAACTAAAAAGGAAGCATAGTCAATATTTTTTAATTTCAAGAGTTTAACTTTTTATTTAACTCAAATATAATATTTTATTCATCAAGGGAGGATACACGCGCAATGGGCGAATGTAGATTTCAAATATTATACAAAAAAAAATAATAAAGAGAAAATATTATTCGAGTAGGGAAGGAGTTAAAAATTATTATACTTTTTATATTATTGTAAAAGTACTAAACCCCAATGCGAAAAAATAAAATTATTTTTTTAATATTGGGAATAAGTAATTAAGTCTTTGAATTAATTACTCCCTCCATTTCACTTTATTATATAAAACGTTTTAGTTTTTTGAGATTCAAACTATATAAATTTTGATGAAATTTTTTAAACATGTTTTCAATCATATTAACATGAAAAGATTGTAGCTTCATAGTATTTCTCGTATAGTTTTTGAATATTTAAGTTTTAACTTTATAATAACGAATTAATCTAAATTAGTCAAATCGAAAGATTCACATAAACTAGAAAGGAGGGAGTAATTAGCCAAATAATTAATTTATTTCTTTTTTAAAATCATCATATAAATAAAATTATTTTTTAAATTGATAAAACTCTTAAGGTACATAAATTTATCTTCACAAGAAGACCACTGACGATTAAAAAAAATAAAAAATAAGCAAAATTGATTATGTTATAGTTTAACTTGTTATTTGTCTTCGTATTAGGTAACAAAATAACAAGGATGTTCATAAGATATTCACATATATCCTAAGAAATTACAATAACGCATATGTAACACAAAATTTCTTAATTTATTGAACTAGCTAAATTGGGTCAATATTTATATTTTTTAGGAGCTTAGATCTTTTTCGTTAATTTTTATTCAATAACTCAAATAAATTATTTAATGTAATTACCTATTTAAAAAAAAATTATATACTCATAATATAGGTACACGCGCAAAAGGTATAAGACTAAGACTAGTCCCATTATATAAGCTCGTGCTATTTACTAACAACCATCCAAACGAGCTGTTAAACTAGAAAAAATATAACGCTCCTCCCACTAACAGACCCGCTTGGAGTAAAAGAGGAGGGAAGGGCTTAAACAATTTTCAAAGTCCCCCACCCCACCCACCCCCTCAAAGTACCCCCTCACTTTCTGCTTCAAATTGAAGCTGTCTTTTTTTTTTGCCCCTTCTCCGTTCTTCAAACATATAATAGAGAGAATACATGCTTCCTTCACTCTAGGGTTCCATCCGTACTGTTCCTAGGAGTTTTTGAACTTTTGGACTTGTAAATTTCTAGGGTTTATCACTCTTTGAAATCTCTCTCTCCATGGCGGCGGAGAAGCTTAGGGATTTGAGTCAGCCTATTGATGTTGCCTTACTTGATGCCACTGTTGCCGCTTTCTATGGAACTGGATCTAAGGAAGAGGTAACAACATACTCCACTTCAGTTGCTATGTGTCACTAATGTGGCTTAATTCTCCAATTTGTAATTTCCAATTGCTTACCAAACTTTTGTGACTTCTAGAGTTTATTTCAGTACAGTTAGCCACATGTTAATTGAACCTTCGGGGAGGAATGAAGACTTTTTGGATGGTTTGGTATGTAGAAAATTGTTTTGCTTTACGGATTGGTGGTTGGATACAAAAGTTTGTGATGTATGGTAATTGTACAAGGTGAAAAATTGGGTATACTGAGCACCCAAGGATGTGGCCTAGTGGTCTAAAGTGGGAGGAGAACCATGAGGTCTCATGTTCAAATTTCAACGGAGGCAAAAAACATTAGATGATTTATTCCTGTCGCCTAAACCTTGTTGGCAGAGCTTGTCGCCTAAACCTTGTTGGCAGAGATACCCAGTACCCGTGCTGCTGTGAGGTAGTAGATAACTAGATATTCAATGGAATAGCCGAGGCTAGCACAAGCTGGCCAATAGAGTATAATGATAGTGTTTTGAGGGTACAAGGATAGTGTTCCACTAATATTATTGATTATTTGAGGGTTGACAAAAATGTCTTAAGTGTCAGTTGAAGAAAGTGATGTGGAGTAGGAGTTTGGGATATTTATAAAATAAAATGATTTATTTCCATAGGTGAATGAAGTCATTTTACTCTTTTTGGGAAGTACTTTCCTTTGTGAAAAGCTAAACACAGAAAAATATTTTTTGCACATACTGATTTTTCTGTTTTGGCTGCTAGCTCTGCGTTTTGTTGCCGATTGAGGGCCAAGGAGTGTTGTATTCTTTCGGAGCTGTTTATCTCTCTGTATCCCCCCCTTTTCACTCCTGCAATTTATGGGCATTTTTTTTTTCTTTTTTTTCTCTGGAGTTGTTTTATAATTATTCTTTTGTTTCAAAATTTATTCTCTAATGTTTGTACCATCCTGAGAATCGCGACCTTCCTCCCCTGCCCCCCCCTCCCCACCAAAAAAAAAAGGGAAAAAGAAAAACTGAAGAAGCAAAAGACCACTAAAGTTTGTGGAGAGTGGGGTGAGGTATTGTAGTCCACATACGTGCAATGAAGAATAGAAGCTTTGTATGAATGTGGTTCTGATGAGGTGTTGCCATGATCCTTAACACACACACACACACACATGTGTGTTTGTGTACACACACAGATTTAGGAATATGAACTCAGAGACACAGTAGAAGGAAGAACATATCAGCAATTGATTCTCCATTTTGGAGAGTGAATAAAAGAGAAGAAGGGTTGAGATCTGTAGTATTTAGTTCTGGGCCTACTTTCAGCAGTATAGAATTAGGTTTGGTAATTTTAGGGTATGCATTAGTTACTCAGTTGGTGTATAATGACAACTTGTTGCTAGAGCACATCAGTGTACTTGCAATTCCAAATGTTCACGTATTCCACATCCTATGGGCTATGGCTTTGTTTGAAATTTGGAGGATGATTTATTTTATCTGTATTAGGTGAGGTTCGCAAAATAACTGTTTACATTCCCTAGCATGAATTGCATTTCGCTCATTAGTGGCTCAGCTGCTCTAAACACATGCATGATTATGTGACCAAACAAGTCTACTTCTTGTGCATCACAGATTTGGGCTATTTTTTGTTTAGGGGGTTGTAGTCGGACCCAGTGAAAAGTGACATTTGGCATTATATTGATATGCTTAGTCAATTTTCAAAGTTTTAATATGTTTCCTGTTCGATTTGAATGTCACAGGAAGCTTATTGTTTCTACACATCAGTTGAAATCACGATAAACTTTTTTGTCTTAAGTAGACTTGTGATCTTAGATGGTATTTGTTAAGAAGCAGAATGGGATGAAGGGGATAGGAACAATTATGACTCTGAATGGTCTAGCTAGAAGGCTGAGTAAGGAAAATTTTTGGCTTGCAAATCTTGCCATATTAGCAACTAGGCTGAGTGAGTTGACTAGAATAACAGTTATGGTAATTGACCTAAGTTTCCGTCCTTGTACTGTAGTGATATTATATCCACTTTCTTTTAGCAACCATTTACATGCACACGCACAACTTTTAGTAATTATTGGAAGTCAAGAAACTCAGTGTTATCAAAGTCGAAAAATGCAAAAAAGCTCTACAGTATGTTGGGGCTTTAAGCGCAAAGCACAAATAAAGTGCGGACTTTAATGAAAAAAGACACAAATGAAAAAAAATAACAATTATGTATGTGTAGTCCAAGACTAATATCTATAGCCATGAATACCAAATATATGGACAAAGAAATTGAAGAAAATTTATGATAAAGTGAAGTATCAAGTGCTTAATGTCTCTCTTCAGGATTACGCTTATTGGCAAGGAAAAGTATGTCTTAGAGCCTTGATGACAACACTGAAGAGCTTGCTAAGCGAGGCGAAGCGCTCAACATGTTTTGAGCCTCGCTTCAGGGCTTAAGCGCGCCTTTGATAACACTGATTAGAAAATGCAAGAAACATACTCCCATATCAATATAGAGTATATCTCCGTTTCAATTTAGATGATGTAGTTTGACTTGGCACAAAGTTTAAGGGAAAAAAAGAAGACTTTTGAAACATGTGGTGATAAATGCTTAAGGGGCAAAATCTTATTGGGACCATAATAATTGTGTGGCTGTAAAAGCTTCTCATTAAGGGTAAAGTGGGTAGAATGAAAAGTTTAAAGTTAAATTGTTTCTATTTTAGAAATGTTTCATTCTTTTTAGAATGGACTATTAAGCTAGCGTTTGGCCATAGATCCCAAATTTATTTTGAAAAATCTGATTTGGGTGAAGTTTGGTTTGAAGATGAAAATGTGTTTGGACATACGATTTCAAAACATATTTTTCAACTTTATTTTGGGAAAACATGTATATAATTCCCAAGTTTTGAAAATTTGGCCCAAATTCAGCTTATTAGCTGAATTTGAGATTTCAAATATGTGATTTGAGTTTTGGCCAAAATGTGGGTCAAATTTATGGCCAAACATGGGATTTGAAAATAAATTTCAAATTAAATTTGGGAAAATGTATGGCCAAACAGGGGCTAAGGAAAGTGTATCATCTAAATTGAAATAGAGGGAGTATATGTTTTGATAAAAAGTTAATATTTGTTTGAATAAAAGGCACTTCATTGATTCCTGAAAAGAATGAACAACAAAAGATGCATTGGCCAAAAAGATCATATGTGTAGCTTGTTAATTGATTCCTTGTACCATTTAATTATCACACAAATTTTTTAGGACAACTAGAATTAGCTTTAAAGCTGTTCTTGTTCTCCATTTTTACTCTTCTGTCGCCCACTTCTATCTATTTTGCTGTGTAGAGAGCTGCAGCAGACCATATTTTGCGGGACTTGCAAAATATCCCAGATATGTGGCTTCAAGTGGTTCACATTTTGTCGAGCACGCAAAGCCTGAACACCAAGTTTTTTGCTTTGCAGGTCAGTTTTTGGAAGTAATTCTATTCGTATTTCGAATATATAAGTTTTACTTGCATCTGTGTTTATGGGCTCTTTACCTCAGCGATTAAACATTTGTATACATTCTTACTAATATCAATTTCATGCTTATAACTAGGGCGAGCATGTTTAATATATTAGATTTCGTTAATGTAGTACAAACGTATGAAAAGTTGTAACTGAGTACTAATCTTTGATCCAAATTGGATGTTCATATTTTATAGAGTATGTCTTAACTGTTATGATGATGTTAACAGTGTGTTTCTTTTAAAAATGACACGTGAGTATAAAATTTACCTTTTGATTGTTTTAAGAATAGAAAAGAGTTATAATGAAGTTGACATTTGATCACATCTAATAAAAGGAAATATTCAATTTAGCATTGATGAAGAGTATTGCTTTTCTTGGTATAGTTATGTAAAAATTCAATTTTGCACTATATCACTTTTCTTGGTGTAGTATGTATTGTTGTTTTGAACAAGAGCCAAATGACATTAGCATTTTAAGTCGTTGGACAGTGAGAGTATTAGAAGCGATCCAAAAGTTTGATGTTTCGTTGTGTTCTTTTAATTGATATTTGATATTCCTTCTATTTGTTGCTTGTCTTGGTTTAAGTTGGCATGATTTAAGATGAGAGCTAAGTTTGGAGTTTGTTCTTTGATTGTGAAGGTAAAGGTAGGCTGTGAGACAACCCAAATTGTGAATTCTTCGGATGTCAATAAGTTTAAAATTGAATCAAAGTAGAGGAAGAAATTACTAACGGATGCTTTAATATTGTCTTGAGAAGATGGATATTTTATTGACATCACTAAAACAGAATATCGCGACATGTTTCCGTATTTGCCCAAATTTAAAATGAATTGTTTTTGGTCACTGTTTGACGGGATTAGTGGATTACTGTATTGGCTTCATACCTGCAGGTTCTAGAAGGTGTTATAAAGTATAGATGGAATGCATTACCTGTTGAACAAAGAGATGGGATGAAAAATTACATTTCTGAAGTTATTGTAAAGGTATCACTACACAATTGATTGTCATATTGGGGACGTTGAGTTGGATTTTCTAATTTCTTCTGATTCTTTTAACTATTTCATGTATGTTTATTTTCGTCTTGATCTCAGCTTTCTAGTGATGAAGCATCACTTAGGCGGGAAAAGCTATATGTTAGCAAGCTAAATATAACTTTGGTTCAGGTAATTTTAACATTGCAAATACTGAGAGTAACTGTCACTCAAGCTACACATGATTTTAAAAGCTTTAAAGAAGGGGTTTTATTCTTGAATATTTGCATCTGCAGATTTTGAAGCATGAGTGGCCAGCCAGATGGCGAAGCTTTGTTCCAGATTTAGTTGCAGCCGCAAAGACAAGTGAGACTATATGTGAAAATTGCATGGCCATATTGAAGGTCTTTGCGCACCTCTTTTCTTCCTTCCGGTGAAACTTAACAATCAAGTACACACTGATGACAGAATTTTATTCTTCAGCTTCTTAGTGAGGAGGTATTTGATTTCTCGCGGGGCGAAATGACTCAACAGAAAATTAAAGAGCTCAAACAATCTTTGAATAGGTACTTCGTAGTTCGTAATCCTTAGTTTTTCTATCCAATTTTAAAGCTCGTTTGTTTATTTCAATCTAGCACATTTTTCATTTTAATATTTAGCTGATTGTATTGTATTATAAGATTGTGGATTACGGGGTGTAACTTGGAATACCTGGTTGCACATGCTTATGTTTTGTAGCATAGGAATTATATGTTAGAGGAGAACATTTCTTCAGCTGGTTTTGTTTTAATTTTGGAATCTAGGGAATAAAAGAGAAAAGAAGAGAAAATAAGAAAAGGAAAAATGGAAGAGGAGGTGGAGTCTTTCCTTGGTTTGGTTGGGATAGAAAGTGAGATGGGGAATAAGAGTTTTCCTCATTTTGGGAACAAGCTCGTGATTCCAAGAAAGAGATGTCTTGTCCTCTATATTTTTCATTCTCTTTCCATTTTGCCGCCAAAAGATAGAAGAAAATTTCCTCTCCTCTCCTTTTTCTCCTTTCTGAAATAAGCTTAATCACGCTGGATCTTTTCAGTGAATATGTAGTATCTGATTCTTGAAACTGGACTTGTGCTTGGTATGCGGTCTAATTTTTTGACATGCAGTGTCTCTTCTTCCGTTTAGATCTCTTTTTTAGTTTTGTGCTCTTTGTAATCGGATGCCATTGGAACCTGACTTTCCTTTTCTTACTATGCCTTGCAATTGGTTGGTATCGAGACCACTTGGATTCTAATAACAATAGTAATGAGGAATTGAAAGATGGTGCACACTGTTGAATGAATTTTAGACTCGTTCAAAGGATTGATACAATTTTTAATCATTTCAGTTGCTTGATCGTTTAATATAACTATTATCTTGCTATTAACTAGGATTAAAGTTCTATTTTGTATATGCTTAATACAAAATGCCTATATTCTTTGATATCAAGATTGTTATTTTTGGGACAAATTTTACTGATAGATTCTTTCTTCTGATCCCAGTGAGTTTCAACTCATCCATGAGTTATGCATGTATGTGCTATCAGCATCCCAGAGAACCGAGCTTATCAGGGCTACTCTTGCAACATTACATGCTTTCCTTTCGTGGATTCCTGTGGGCTATATATTTGAATCACCATTGGTTTGTATTCCATTGCTACTTATTCTTTATCTTATTGATTGAAGCTTGTCACTATATGTGTTACCTGTTGTAATGTGAATGTCTTTGAGAAAAAAGATTGAAGTCTGTCCTGTTTGTTTTTACAGCTGGAAACACTGCTTAAATTTTTCCCTGTGCCAGCTTATCGGAATCCCACTCTTCAGTGCTTAACAGAGGTATATCATGGGGATCTCCAGAAAATTTCCTTTTTCTGATGCTTGATTTGAAATGATTCAGGACACTTATTGGCTAGTTTGTATATCTAACAGGTTGCTGTCCTCAATTTTGGTGATTTTTATAATGTCCAGTATGTCAAAATGTACAATATATTCATGGTGCAGTTGCAGGTGAGTGAAAAGAAGTATAGAATTTGCTTGTATGATTTTTAATTTATCTAAGTCTGTCTGTAGCATTAATGAAGGAAATCTATGATGTGCAGCCATGTGTTCAGTAATCTTTCTCCCTTATTTTTCTTCTGACTTGATAGGAATACATAGATAGCTCTACACAATTGTTTAAGAAAAACATGGTTACATGTTTATGTGTTTTTTGTCCAAAGCTACGATTATTCTTTCTAACTTGTCAAAAAAAAAAAGATAAAGCTTTTATTATATTTGTCCTACTTAACTATAGTTTACAAGAAATCATGTTTTTTTTGGGCCCAAGTTCTGTAGGAGAATTTTTCAAAGTGTTTTTAAGCATTGAAGTGTTGTTATTTTTGTGTGATTATGCAAGAGAAAATATGTCTTTCACTTCCTATTTGTCTAAGCGATCATACACGGTATTGCTACAAGCAATGACTCTCGTGCAGCTGTTGCACCCTTGCTTCTTGCCTTTCTTGCTTAGTAAAGCAGCATTTTGCTCTAGTATTTTCTTTTTGCCCATATTTTATAATTTAATTTCACTGATAGTTCCCGAAGGTGAAGTTTATCTTTGCGTCTTCTAATAATTTTTGTAGAAACATTTGTATATTTTTTTACTTGAATCGATACTATTCTACAAGTTAAAATTTTAAGTGATGATGGATGTCAATCTGAAGCAACGCCGACAACTGCATTTCATTCCCAAGCTTGTCGGCGTCGACATGTGAGTCCACACTATCTATTTCACTCTATTTTGATTCATTTCATGGAAATATTAAATAACTTGAGGTTCTGAATCACTAGAGACTCTGAATTTCCTATGACATACAAATCATTGGACAAACTAAATACTCCTAGCAACACTAAGCATAATGTAAGTTTTGTATCATGACTAAGTGTTAATTCCGACTAGTTTGTATTTCCTAAATGGTTCTTTTGTTTTCATTGATAATATTTTTGTTACATCTGCATGGATTGCTAGAGATTAAGTAGGCGTTTGGCCATAAGTTTTGGAAGTTTTTTTTTAATTTTTTTTCCAAATCTGTGTTTGTTTATAGAATTAATCTAGTTTTTGAGAGATTTTGAAAACCAAAATTTCAAATCCCAAATATAGCTTAAGACCTCTTTTTGGGCCAAATCATGATCATTTGGGACTTTTTAACATGTCAAAACTTGCCCCAAAATTCATATCCAAACACATTTTCAATTTCAAATCAAACTTCATCCAAATAAGTTTTTTCAAAAAATATTTGGGAATCTATGTCCAAACGGGTCCTAAAGATCTTTTGCAGCAACTTCCTATAATGTGATTTTAGGTCTGCCCTGTTCTTTTACCTCATCTCATTTTGTAGGTGTATGCTATTTTTTCCCTTATACTCTCTCCGTTTCAACTTATGTGAACCTATTTGATTGGGCACCGAGTTTAAGAAAAGTGAGAAGACTTTTGAACTTGTGTAAAATGAGGCATATATATTTTTGTGTGGCTATAAATCATTGCATAAAGGTAAATTATTTCCAAATAAGGAAAGGGGTCATTCTTTTTGGCACGGACTAAAAAGAAAATAGGTTCACATAAATTGAAACGGAGGGAGTATCAGATTAGATCATTCCTAATCTTGTCTAATCTTGTAAGGATTTATCAATTTTAGCATTTGCAACACTCATTTTGTGAATAAATTGTTCCTTAGAAGCTCAATACGCCCATATAACATTGGTGGTCTTACAATCGTTCTATGGAACTTGCTTTCCACTTTTGTAGGATTCCTTACATCACTTTCCACAACATTCCTCTATATCAACCATCCTATTTTAATTATATGTGTTACATCTTCATCCATCATACCATTTCCTGGAGTATAAAACCTAGATCTGAATTTTTTGATAGGTAAAGCAAGGTTCTGAATTTATTTGCATTTAGGCAGCGAATCTCATCTAATCTTACCTCAATATCCCTGTTCTTATGTTGGCAGAACATGCAACGTGTATATTCTGTCTTACTTCTACTTATCCTAAAACTCCTACTTTCTAGAGTGGTGCTCCATAGTTCAAGCTTTTGATTGACACTTTCGCAAGTTTCATCAATTAACACAATATTGTTTTCAATAGCATACAATACAGGCTCTCATCATGTATACTATCCATTAGCGCATCCATAACTAGGATAATAAGTACTGGGCTCATTGCAAATACATAGTGTGTAAACTCGTAGCTATGAAAAACTCCTACTTATCTCCTACTACTATTTTTACACATGATGACGACTTCATACATATCCGTTATGAGCTTTATATACTTGATATGTTTTTTTTTTCTTCTCCAACTTCCACCATGGCACTATAGGAACTTTCTTGGTACCTTGTTGTACATTTTTTCCTGGATCAGTGAATATGATGTGCAACTGCTCTTTCCTCTCACTGTAAACTTGTGTCAACATTCTGAGCCAAACTGGTGCATTTGTTGTAAATCAACCCGGTTCTCTGTCATCCCTATAGCATCCTCAAGTTTATGTTTTACCACACTTTCTTGATGTTGATCAGTTCTTTCCATGATAGTTCACAAAATTTTGAATATCTTCTTTTGTTTATCTATTGGAATTAAGGTACTCTTCCTCCACTCGTTTGGCTTCTTTCCGCCTTCTGCCTTTAGTAGTTTCTTATAACACTCTCCTTTTTGTCGTTAATAACTTTTGGCATCTCCTCATTCCCCACCTATGTTTCTTATGGTTGATGTCTTGGGCCTAAAGACACATCTAAAAATTCGTTCTTAATGCAACCTGACATTTCCTTTCACATGGTATTTGTGTCCTCTTCTGAGTACCATTCTCCCTCCTTTGGTAAATAAGTTTGAAGAATAACATTCAGCTTGTATGGTGTAAAGTAGAAACTTCAGTTTAGAAGAGTGGACAATGTTGAGGATCTTGAGGGAGGTAGGATAATTGAGTAGGAGAAATATTTATTATAGTTATATGTAGGTCAAAGGTGGTACTGCGGTAGCACAAAGGCTACACGCTATCATTCACTTGTTATTTGAATTGGAGCTGTCTTCACTTTCTCACACCGATCTTCTCTGTACGCTTGTTTGTGTCCCCTTTGTCCACGAGTAGTTGCTACGATGAGTCTCAGCTTGCATTTCAGTCAGTTTATCTGAATCAGATCTATTTAACGTGTCAAACGTTACATTAATTTTGATCTTAGAGTTGGCAAAACTGTGTAAAGATTCGGTTTCGTGGAACATAAACATCCTAGCGCGTGGATGACCTTGATTTTTCTGCCGTCCTTGTTGTTAGTAGTTTGTAGAGTTTTTTCCACCATACCTTATTGTTTGAGCCATCTGTCTCTGATAATAGTGCTCATATATGTTGATTTTTCTTCCCATATAGACTATTCTTCCTCCCAATACGAATATTCCTGAGGCATATGCAAATGGAAGCAATGAAGAGCAGGTTTGTTAGTTGCAACGAATGATTGGTCACTTAGCTTGTGATATTAACATGTAACCTCATCTCTCTTTCCTTTTTAACCAGGCATTTATTCAGAATTTGGCGCTGTTTTTCACATCATTCTTTAAGGTAAGTTTCTTCACCTTTTGATTTGGTGCATAGTAGCCTTGATTTTACCAGTTTGACTTTAGACATTAGTAAGCATATTCTCTAATGAGCTGCTTCACGTGCAGTCTCACATACGGGTGCTAGAAACGTCACAAGAAAATGTAAATGCCCTCCTACTGGGGCTTGAGTATCTAATTAACATCTCATATGTGGATGACACTGAGGTTTTCAAGGTATTACATCTACTTTTGGATCTTGATAAGATATCTCTTAATAAGTGTCTCATTGTTAAGCTGTGGGTGCACAGGTTTGCTTGGATTACTGGAATTCCTTGGTTCTTGAATTATTTGAAGCACATCATAATCTTGACAAATCTGCTATGACTGCAAGTTTGATGGGGCTTCAGGTATGACAAGTTACTTGAATCGCTTTTGCCTCCATGGAGCGCACACACGTGCTTCAGGGCTATTTAGCCTCGTAGGTTATGTGCCCTAATTATCTAGAACATAAGTGGATATCATTTGTTGTGCTTTGGTAGGAACACCTTAGGTCATCAGCAAAATGCATTTACTTGGATGAATTTGGTTAAATGCCCTTATCTCATAGGATTAGAATTTCCCACCGGATGGGCTTGTTAATCTGTCTGTTTGTTGGTCGTCCTCAAGATAGTCATACTCAGATCAAGTCTTATTCATCCAACTCCCTCCTTTTTGGAAAACATATGGCGTCTATACAAAAGAATATAAGTGGGTGATTTGGTTGCTATTATTGACAGCTTGGTATTATGTTGGAAAACTTTTATGCCATTTTAAGTATACTTCAAAACCCTTTTTTGGCACAGCAAGAAAGAAGGATCCCTTAAAACTTTTTGCTAAGAATAGGTTGCTATTGCCTATTTGGATTATTACTTGTTAGTCGTGTATTTCTCTTAGTTGCATGTCGGTTTCTATAAAGCTGCTGATGTGCTAGTTTTTGTGTTGAATAAGCAGATGCCCATGCTTCCTGGTATGGATGATGGACTTGGTGCCCAGCTTATGCAGAGGAGACAACTTTATGCTGGTCCAATGTCTAAGTTGAGATTACTTATGATCTCTCGGATGGCAAAACCTGAAGAAGTTCTAATTGTTGAAGATGAAAATGGGAACATTGTCCGTGAAACAATGAAGGACAATGATGTCCTTGTGCAATACAAGGTCTTCTATCTCTTTTTAGAATAATCTGTTAACCCACATAGGATGTTGCATGCGTCGGATTAAACTATTTGTAAATGTGGTTCTATAAATTGTATGGATTATGATAATTGAAAATCTAATACGAGCCAAGATAGCCTTCATGCACTTTAGATATGGCTGCTCCCACAATTGGGTGTCTACATGTGTAATTTGGCCATCAATTGAAGACTACATGTAGTTGGAGGCTATATTTGTAACAAGTGACTACTTAGATTCCTAGGTCTTTAGCTTTGGGGTATTTAGGTCTCTTGTTAGCTAAATACCCTCCCTAGTATAAATAGGGAGACTAGTTTTTGTTTGATAATGTGTTCTCTTTGAGAGAGTGAAATGGTGATGGCCGTTGTTGAACACATCTTGCAAGGGTGTTTTTCAAGTGGATTTCTTCCACTTGAAGTTGTCCTCTAGATTAGGTTCACTTTGTTTTGCTAATTAGTGGTCGGTCTCTATCAATTGTTTCTTAATTGATACTGTTGGTGTATTCTCAATTTCTATCCTTTTATCCTCGTTTCTTTAATTTCCGCATTCTAATTTGTATCAAAATCTATCTTTTTTTTGTTGATAAATTAGTGAAATTGAAAATTTCTTCTAGAAATTGTGTTTCTGTACCTGTTATTTTTTCCGGGCCTGTTTTGAGGAGGTGTATAGCATTAATTGACTAAAGTGTACAGAGCTAATACATGCTCTTTGGGTTGCGTATTCTCTATTTGTTTCTCATTCATAACAAATGTCTAATGCTGCAGATCATGAGGGAAACATTGATCTATTTGTCACATCTTGATCACGAAGATACCGAAAAGCAGGTGTGCCTCCCTTAGAGCTATCTTTTTTGAAGTATTGAAGTTCATGCTGAAATTTTTCTAAAAGCATAATCAATTATTGTTAGAATAGTCATGTAAATAGGAGTAAATAAATAACCCTAATCCAATATATATTAGGAGTAGGACATGTTATGTGTGTATATATATAGGGCTCATTGTAACATATGAATATACATCAATAATATATTTTCTCCCGTGCTTTCTCACATGGTATCAGAGCAACCGTGAGAAATTTATCGTTGTGCGTCATTCCAACGATATCCGGGAAGAAACAACTCAGTCACCGTGCAATTTTCCGGTGACCTAAGTGACTAATTGCGTCAAAGTCACTAATTATCAGTGTTGTGCAAAAACCAACACCACCACAGGGTTCCCAAGGCTCCGGCGACCAAACCCCAGTAAACCCCACCGGAAAACACCCCCTCACGCGCCCTCACGCGCTGGCGATATTCCGGCAAATCTGACCCACGCGCCCCCACGCGCCGGCGCGTGAGCACTGTTTCGGCCATTTTTTGAAAATCTTCCAGTTGGACAGTCGGATCGCCTAGTAATTCCGAGTCTGTCCATACCTTTTTCGTTTGATTCCGACCACTTTGAGTTTTTCCGGCGACTACACTGATTTTTCCGGCAGCTACAGTACTTTTCCGGCAAACACAGTGTTTTCTTCATCTGTTTCAGAGAATTTTCAGTTGATTCTTTTTGTTATTTGGTGATAATCCAACCATGTCTTTGGGAGTCGATGCTTTCGGGTCTAGAAACCCGGGTTCTGGCAGTTCCGGTGTTATGATTACCTCAGAACCTTTAATGGGAGGTTCAAACTACTTAGATTGGGCTTCATCTGTCGAGTTGTGGTGTAAAGGTCAAGGAGTTCAAGATCATTTAACAAAAAAGGCTAGCGAAGGTGATGAAAAGGCCAAAACACAGTGGGAGAAGGTCGATGCTCAGTTATGTAGTATCCTGTGGCGATCTATTGATTCCAAGTTGATGCCCTTGTTCCGTCCATTCCAGACATGTTATTTAGTTTGGGAAAAGGCTCGTAATCTATACACTAATGACATATCTCGTTTCTATGATGTAATATCGCGAATGACAAGCTTGAAGAAACAGGAATTAGATATGTCTACTTACTTGGGACAAGTTCAGGCAGTCATGGAAGAATTTGAGACGTTGATGCCAGTTTCTGCTAGTATTGAAAAACAACAAGAGCAAC